ATGCTGCCCCCGTGTGGCAGCTCTGTGGTAAGTCCAGCTCCGCTTGTGTATGCTGCCCCCGTGTGGCAGCTCTGTGGTAAGGCCAGCTCTGCTTGTGTTTGCTGCCCCCGTGTGGCAGCTCTGTGGTAAGACCAGCTCTTGCTCACCTATGCTGTCCCCATGTGTCTGTCGGCTCTGTGGTAAGGGCAGCAGTCCTGGTTTGGTAGGCTATTCAGAACGGCTATGATTCCCGGACTCAGATCTCTCCACAAATGATGCTCACACTCTCCAGCAGAAGCTCTGTCAGTGTTGATGGTGATCTTTACAAACCCTCTGATCAGTTCTTCTGTCCTGTTTTCCAGTTCAGAAGGTATGGTGATATTTTATTTGTACTGAAATGTGACTTTATTTGTATGTTAATAAAGTTGCCTGGGGGTCAGAGCTAATAGCAAGCCATAGCAGAAGCTGGGCGGTGGTGGCGCACGCCTTTAATCCCAATCACATGACAGGCAGAGCTAGGCAGATCTCTGTGTGTTCAAGGATACAGCCAGCATGGAGACACACGCCTTTAATCTCAATACCAAGCATAGAAGACCTGGAGGTCTGTGTAGACAGGCAGTGACGAAGAGGTCATGTGGTTGGGTTTACAACCAATGAGAAGGCAGAACAGAAAATCAAAAAAAGACAGACACACAGGAAGTAGGTCTCTTTCTCAGGGGAAGGACGGCAGCGGCAGGAAGGGTAAGAAAGGTTTTAAGTCTCAGCTCTTAGCTACTGCTCTGACCTCTTGGGCTTTTAACTCTGCATTTGCCTCTGTGTTTCTTATTATTTAATAAGACAGTTACCTCTACAAGAAGGGGGTGTATGAAGAAGTTCAGACTGAAAGCATTGCAGTGAATTGCTGGGGGATGGTCTGTATGTGCTCTGATTGGCCAATAAATAAAACACTGATTGGCCAGTGGCTAGGCAGGAAGTATAGGCGGGACTAACAGAGAGGAGAAGAGAGAAAACAGGAAGGCGGAAGGAGTCACTGCCAGCCGCCACCATGACAAGCAGCATGTGAAGACTCCGGTAAGCCACGAGCCACGTGGCAAGGTATAGATTTGTGGAAATGGATTAATTTAAGATATAAGAACAGTTAGCAAGAAGCCTGCCATGGCCATACAGTTTGTAAGCAATATAAGTCTCTGTGTTTACTTGGTTGGGTCTGAGCAGCTGTGAGACTGGCGGGTGACAGAGATTTGTCCTGACTGTGGGCCAGGCAGGAAAACTCTAGCAACAGTGAATTTCACATACACTAGCAGGTTTTATGTGGCTGGCTAATTGCCTGGTTTGAAGCCCTTTATCCTGCAGGTGAAACAGCCAGCTCCTAAGACTTCTACACACTAAATTTCCCCGAGACTTATGTCCTAAGGCACAGACTACACAGCCCAGTCGCTGTCCCTGTGTACTAGTGGCCAACATGGCCAGCAGCTCTGGGGACAGCTCTTCAGGACTTGAGTAAACACATAAGCATAACTGACCTGCAACCTTGGGCCACATCCCTCCTATAGGGAACATACGGGCAACCAGCCTTACGCCTCAGTACTGGGGTGATTGCTGGCAGCAGTGGTGTGACTATCGGGCTTTCTAAAAATGAATTTGGGGGCTGGAGAGACAGCTCAGCTGTTAAAGAGGACCAGCTTCTTTCTCTTCCAGAAGACCTGGGTTTGATTCCCAGCACCCATATGGCAGTTTACAACTGTCTATGACTCCAGTCCCAGGAACTGTCACCCTTTTCTAGTCTCTGTGGGTATTGTATCCACATGGTGTGCAGAAATTCATGTAGGCAAAACATTCATACATATAAAATGATGTAGAAAAAAGCTTGGTCTACAGAGCAAGTTCCAGGACAGCTGGGGCTACACAGGGAAACCCTGTCTTGGGGGGTGGGGGGATAAATAAATAAATAAATTTTAAAAATGGGTTTAAACAGGAATGGTAGTGTATGCCTTTAATCCCAGCACTCAGGAGGCAGAGGCTGGTGGATCTTTGTGAGTTCAAGACCACATGGTGAGTCCCAAGACAGCCAGGGCTATGAAAAGAGACCCTATCTCAGAAAACTCCCCCCAAATAAATCAATTAATAATAATAAATAAAAGTAAAAAATGGATTTAGCATGCACACAGTATACAAACATATATTCAGGCAAAATACACATAAAGTAAAATTTAAAAAAAAACAAATTGAACTTGCTTTTAAATTATAAAGTATGAATACTTGGAAATTTTCAAATTTTAATTTTAAAGTGCAAACAAAGAACTTAAAAGCACCTAAGAGTTTACTCAGGGGTGTGTGTAGGGGGTACTCACAGGATCAGTTTTTGGCTGTGCTCCTGGCCCATGTAGATAGCATGCATCATGGTGTTTTGGACACGGAATGTGACTTAGGAAGTTTCCTAACTGTGCCCCTGGCTGCAGCAGCGCACAAGCCATGAAGCTGCGTCTCCTGTGACCTGGGCTGCTGGAGAGCTCAGGGCCACCCTGGGGCCAGCAGCTCCGAGGTGCAGTGAGCATGGCATGACTGCTCAGACCTTTCTTCACCCTGGCCTTCACCTGGCTTACTCTTTCTTTTCTTTCATCCATAATCTATTTTAGTCTCTATTTTTTTTCATATTTATCTTCTCTAGCTTTCAATAAGCCACTTTAAACCTACTTGGGTGTGAGGGAGGCGGTAATTTTGTTTTTCATACTAAAGGTGGCCTCTGTTTATGTGTGAATCCTATTTAAAGTTGCATTGCCCACAGGGTACTGCGGATCACCAGGGACTCTGCCCAGACCTGGACTTGCCCACCCAACCTCTGACCAGGCAACAGGCAGGCCTGAGCTCCAGGACGCAGGTGGCTCCTGAACTTTGAGGATGTCCTTGGGGACACTGGTGGCCTTCCAGGGTTAGAAAGTCCTGACTCCAGTGTGCATTTCCAGGTGTGCTGTCCTAGAAGAGTATGCCATTCCCCTGGGAACATTCAGCATGGGATGCAAGGCCTGAACCCAATCGCAAGGCAACCCCAAAACACAAGGAGAATATAGTCTTCTCTGCTTTCTTTGTGGGATTGGGGGAGGGGGCCTTGAAACAAGGTTTCTCAACGTAACAGCTCTGGCTGTCCTGGAACTCACTTTGTAGACCAGGTGGCCTTGAACTCACAAGAGATCTGCCTGTCTCTGCCTCCCAAGTGCTAAGACTAACTGTGCCACCACCCAGCCGTCACGCCCAGCCCAGCTGTGGTCTGCTTTTCTATAGGGGACTATAGTTCCCTCAAGTGTCAACACAATGAAAGCCAAAGAGAAGACCAGGGAAACGGTCCAGATCAAAGGAGCTAGAGTCCAGATGACTCACGCACCACTGCCCCCAGGCCACTGAGTCGGGTGGCTATGCAGGGCAGTACTGGCTCCACTGGTGAATGGCAATGGACAGATTAGATAAACCGCTATAGGTAGCCAGACAGGAAGGCAGACAGACGTTCAACTTACTGGGTAACTGTTGGGTTTGAGACAGTCTCCTCTACAGCCCATGCCCCTCTCGTATTCCCTGTGCAATCCAAGCTGAGCTCAGTTTTGCTATAATCCTTCCTGCTGCAGCCTCTTTAGTGCTGGGATCACAAAGAGACTGACACAGTCAAGACAGAGATACACACAGGACTGCAGAGATGGCTCAGCAGTTAAGAGCACTTGCTGCTTTTCCAGAGGACCCAAGTTCGGTTCCCAGCGCTGAAAAGCTATGGGGATCCAATGCCTCTGGCCTGTATGCAATCATATGCACATAGCCACATGCACACATGCTGCACATAATTAAAAGTATCAAAATAAATCTTTAAAAGAGAAAGAAAAGCCGGGCGGTGGTGGCGCATGCCTTTAATCCCAGCACTCGGGAGGCAGAGCCAGGCGGATCGCTGTGAGTTCGAGGCCAGCCTGGGCTACCAAGTGAGCTCCAGGAAAGGCGCAAAACTACGCAGAGAAACCCTGTCTCGAAAAACCAAAAAAAAAAAAAAGAGAAAGAAAAGAAATGCACACTGTAGTCAGGTGTGGTCTACCATGCCTGTAATCCCAGAACGTGGGAGTTAGAGACAGGAGGATCAGAATTTAATCAACAAGACAGCAAATTCAATGCTGGCCTGGTCACACGAGATCTTGTCTCAACAAAACAAGGCAAAGCAAAAGTAAATATATACCAGCCTGACAACTATGTACAAATGCTTGATAAACCTTTTGTGTTTGCACATGTTCATGTGTGCATGGAGACACATGGGAGACGGCAGGAACACACACACTGGAATCACACAGACACACACAAGGGAGCAGATAAATGCTGGTCAAGAAAGACCCCCATGCTCCTTGCTATTTGAATAAAAAGTTAAAAACAATCTTGTCTTAAAGCATTCAGTCTTTCCCCTCCAGCTCTCTTATACGTGTTTAAGCATGTGGAAGTACATTCATGTCTGTGGGCATGTATGTGTGGAGGTCCGAGAACGAACTTGGTAGGTAATCCTCAGGCACCATCTACCTTCCTTTGAGACAGGGCCTCTCACTGTCCTCAGGCTCACCTGGCAGGCTAGACGGCCTGGGCAGCGAGCCTCAGGGACCTGCCTGCCTCTGCCTCCCCAGCACTGGGTGTCAACAGTGCTCCGGGCTCCAGGGATCAGACGCAGGTCCTCATGTTTGCACTTTACTGACAAGCCCTAAGAGTTCTTTAAAGGACAAAGCAGTTTCTGCTTGTTCCTCCTGACTCCCAGGCCTCAGTGCCCAGGAGCAGCTGCTCTGACGGATCACAACAACATCTCTCCTTGCTCACCCCAAGGGCTGACCCTCAACTGCATCCTTCTCAAAAACAGCTTTGTTTTCCTTCTAGAAGTTTCCAGACCACCAAAGACAAGTGCTTCAGAGTCTCTTGAATGTCATTTTCTCACAGGCTTTCATTCTCTTTAGTAAGTTCACCTTAAGTCTGGGGGGACAAACCTAGGACACCTTTCTTTCAGGGTGCCTCACCGTCCCAGGCCTTGTGAAGTCCACACTGTGTGCCAGGCTCTGCCGCATCTGGTTGCTGAAGAGGCGGACGCAGACGCTCTGCAGGTACTCGGGGGTGATCTGCAAGAAGGAAAGGCCATCAGGTGAAAGGCATGCCACCTGGCCACAGGGCCTTAAGGCCTGCTACCTCTCAGCACTTCCTGTAGGTGAGCTGATGAAAGAGCCACGCTAGAGAGAGTAACTTACACTTTATCCTGTTCTAGCTTCTGCTGCTGGGACAAAAATACCTTACTGTGGTAGTTTGGATGTAATTGGCCCCATAATCTCAGGGAGTGGCACTATTAGGAGGTGTGGCTTTGTTGATGTGGGTGTGGCCTTGTTGGAGAAAGTGTGTCATTGTTGGGGAGGGCTTTGAGGTTTCCTATGTTTAGGATACCATCCAGTGTCTCAGTCAACTTCCTGTTGCCTGCAGGATGTAGGATTCTCAGCTACTCCTCCAGCACCACATCTGCCTGCATGCTGCCATGCTCCCCGCCATGATGATAATGGACTGAACCTCTGAAACTATAAGCCACCCCGATTAAATGTTTCCTTTGTAATAGGTGCCATAGTCATGGTCTCTCTTCACAGTAATAGAAACCCTAACTAAGACACTTACAAAAAGTAACATAAGGGAAAATGGGTTTACTTTAGCACACTGCTCCAGGGTACAGTCACTAATAGAAACTTGAAGCATCCAGTTACATCCAGTCAAGGGCAGAGAGAATGCATGCTGCATGCTTACTACTTAGCTTGATTTCTCCATTCTTACGCAGTTCAGAATCCAGATCTAGGGAATAGTGCTGCCCACTGTGGGCTGGATCTTCCAATCACTTAACTTAAATCAGGATAATCTTCCACAGACATGCCTATAGGCCAAGCTGATCCAGACAATTCCTCACAGAGACTTTCTTCTCAGGTGGCTGTAGATTGTGTCAAGTGGACAATTAAAAGTAACCACACCACAACCTCAGACGTCTGGGGAAGAATTAACACACTGACCTAAGAGATAAAAGTAACTGACTACAGAGGTAGGAGAGATGGCTCAGTGGTTAAAAGCATTGGCTACTGTTCCATAGGACCAGGGTTCGATTCCCAGCACTCACATGGCAGTTTACAACTATCTGTAATCTAGTTCCAGGGGATCCAAACATCCTCACAAATATATGCACACACAAAAACATGTTAACATGTATGTCAAAAAGGAGATAAAAGCGTGGTGGGGTCCTCTGCATTGTTTAAATTGTTTGTCTTTAGCACATCTTTCTAGACAAGCTATGGGGCTGCAGAGGTGGCTTGGTAGTTAAGAGCATTTGCTGCTCTCTCCCAGAGGATCCGAGTTCAGTACCCAGGATCCACATCAGGGCGCTCACAAGTGCCTGTAACTCTGGTTCTACAGGATCGGATGCCTCTCTTCTTGCCTCCGTGGGCACCAGGTATGCACATGGTGAATAAACACACATGCAGAAAAACACCTATACAGAAAACAATCTAAATTAAAATTAAAAAAAAAATGCATTTGCCCATCTTTTTAAAAAAGATTTATGTATTTTATATGTTTTGTCTACATGTAAGGGCACTGCATACATGCCTGGTCCCCAAGGAGACCAAAAGAAGGCACCAGACCACTCTTGGAAGCTGCTATGTGGGTTCAGGGGGAACTGAGCCCTAGTCCAATACAAGAACAAGTGTTCTTCCTCAGGGTTTCTCTGTGTAGCTCTAGCTGTCCTGGAACTCACTCTGAAGACCAGGCTGGCCTCAAACACATGGAGATCCGCCTGCCTTTACCTCCCAAGTGCTGTATTAAAGGTGTGCACTGTCCTGCCTAGCACAAGTGTTCTTCATCAATGAGCCACCTCCTTAGCCCCACTTTGATACCTGAGGTCCCTTGGCATCTCTGTCTTGATGTCTGCTCAAGTCTCAGCTTGCAAAGTCAGTAGCAGCAGCTATGGGCTCATCTTTCATCCTCCTGGCTGCTAGAGGTACACCCAGAATGGGGAAACTTATTTTTTAATAGGACAGAAGACAAAAGGGAGGTATGGATTTTTCCTTGTAGTCTTTCTGTGTTATTTGCGTTTCTATGTGTGTATTCATGGCTGACCACAGTTCGTCTCCTCCAAGAGTGACGTTAGAGTCAAACTTGGGTCCTTAACCTCTGAGCTACCTCTCCAGTCCCCTTTACCTAATCCTTAACACTAGCCATGTATCATAAGTCACCAGGTAACTACAACAACAAAATTATGTGGTATACAGAACAGTGCCCTGCCAGGGGACGACAGTAAAACAATGGACCTTCCTATGCTGACTCAGTATCCAGATACTTCTCTGAACTCCATTCATCTTAGTTTTGGGGTTTCTCTCTCTCTCTGCCCCCCCCATCCCTCCCTCCCTTCTTTCTTTCTTCTTTCTGTTTAGACAGGGCCTTGGCTAACCTACAACCTGTTAGGTAGACCAGGCTGGTCTCAAACTCACAGAGTTGTGTCTCCTTCTGCCTCCCAATGCTGTGATTAAAGTGGGAGCCACTACACTGGGCCCATAATAACATTAAAGAAAAATACGACAGAAACTGAAAGCAAGGAAGAGCATGTGTTCAGAACACAGGTAAAACCCTGCAAGTGTCGGCACGCTGCAGCACACTGCGGCACACTGCGGCACACTGGCCTTCTGAAATGCAGGACCGGCTCCATCAGTGAGGGGCCAGGAGCCCCACAGCAGTGCCGCCCAGGCCCCATGCACTTTCTCAGAAATACACAAAGGGGAGCTCCTTACCATCTTGCCGCTGACTGTCGCCTCTAGAGAATCCACCAGCTCGGCTGTGACCCCGATGAGGTTGTGGTAGTCGGCCTGGATCTTATTGTACCGCTTGAGGTAGGTCATGGACCGGCGCTCGGCCTCCACCAGCTGCTGGTGGAGCTGCTGCAGCATTTCTAGGAAGACAGTCCACATTGAAGCCAAACACAAGCACAGGCGTGGCAGCAAACCCAGAAACCAAGTGACTGTGCTCTTCTCTGGGGCTGCCAAGCCTTCTGCCACGAAACTTCACACCACCACATAAATGGTGGCAGTAATAAATAAGATTTCTGACAGCAAATACTGGCAAGGATATGGGGAAGAACTCTTATTCACTGTTGGCGGGAATGTGAACTTGGGCAGCAATTATGGAAAGCAGGACAGAGGTTCCCTGCAAAGTTCACATGACCGAGCTCTACCACTCCTGGACATATACCCTAAGGACTCTTTGTCCCACCACAAAAATACCTACATATCTGGTTTACTGCTACTGCATTCACAGTAACAGAAGAATGGAACAAGCCTAGATGCCCACTGTCACATGGGTAGCTAATGAAAATGTGACCCCCACACAGTGGCAGCAACCGAACTGTGGGTTGAAGGTGCACTTGCAGGAGCAGCAGGGCAAGAGCCGAATGCTCGACCACGTTTAAGGATATCAACTGCTGCTGGGTACGGTAGTGCACGCCTTTAATCCCAGCACTCGGGAGGCAGAGACAGGTGGATCTGAGTTCAAGACCAGCCTGGGCTACAGAGCGAGTTCCAGGACAGCCAGGAACACACAGAGAAACTCTGTCTTCAAAAACAAAAAGCAAAACCAAACCCAACAAAAAACAAGCCAAGGCTCACTGAGGCCAGGCAGCAGTGACAACACAGTCGGGAATTCCCTGCCGACCCCTGCAGCGGGCAGAGAGCCTCGGGTGCTGCGGCGCTCCCAGGATGCTCCTGGGCTGTGTGCCAGCTATGCAGCGCCCACTAGTGACTGACATACATTCTAGGCTGGCCCTGTGAAGACACATCTCTATTCCTGCTCCTCCATGCAGGTTCGGCCAGACCTGCCCACTCTGAGCCTTGAGTGTGGGAGCACTCAGGCAGAACCAGTCACACATCTGGAACCACTGGGCTTGGGATATGCAAGAGAAACTGGCGCTTAGATGCAGGGCTGCTGACTACACCATACCTGGTGATGAGTGTGTGTGTGTGTGTGTGTGTGTGTGTGTGTGTGTGTGTGTGTG